CTCACACCAAAATGTTGCAAAAAGAAAAGGAGACGAAAGGGAGGGAAAAGCAATGGCTTAGCCCCAGTTCATGTGTCACGAGTACTCTCCTGTAATATGTTTGGGTACGGAGTGATTTAACTTTCTTGAATCTTGCTCCCTTTCTCTGGATACATAACACGGCCATCAGGAATTTAATTCTAATCCTATTACTTAACCTCTCCCACAGTATTGTGCCCAAGCTAGAAGGCTCCTTTGTTGGAATATGTGGTCCTGAGAATGAGCCACTGGTATTTAAATGGCCTAGGCCCCTGAGTTAACAATAAACAACATAAAACCTTATTTGTACAAGAAGTATATTGCTTTCAAGACGTTCTGTAACTTATTTCCTTAGGGAATAAAACAGTGTATATTAGTACACTGTGAGAAACAGATGAAATGTTCTTCTTAGCATGTAGAAATTTAGAAAAATTCTACCGGAGCCAGGAGAACCTCTCTGGGGAGTGAATTCCACAATCAGGGCACCACCACAGAGAAGGCCCTTCTCCAGGTAGTCAGCCTCCTAATCTCCTTCTAGGAGGGCTCCGGGGAAGGGCCTCTGCCGACAAAAGTGTGTATAGTCAAGGCTCTGGTTTACCCAGTTGCAATATATGGCTGTGAAAGTTGGACCATAAAGAAGGCTGAGCACCGAAGAATTGAGGCCTTTGAATTGTGGTGCTGGAGGAGACTCCTGCGAGTGCCCTGGACCGCAAGGCGATCAAACCGGTCAGACCTAGAGGAGATCAACCCTGACTGCTCTTTAGAAGGTCAGATCCTGAAGATGAAACTCAAAGACTTTGGCCACCTAATGAGAAGGAAGGACTCCCTGGAGAAGAGCCTAACGCTGGAAACAATAGATGGCAAGAGAAGAAGGGGACTGCAGAGGATGAGGTGGCTGGATGGAGTCACTGGGGCAGTCCGCGTGAGCTTAAGTGGACTCCAGGGGATGGTGGAGGACAGGAATGCCTGGAGGAGTGTTGTCCATGGGGTCATGATGCATTGAATGTGACTTTGCAACTAACATCAACAACAGGGATACACTGTGCCTCCTGCCAGGAGGGTATTCTGGAAAGTAGTGAGCAGCCATTTTTGCTAAGGGCATGGGCCTCCCTGACACATTTTGTAAGCTGGGAAATAGTTCAAGTGGAAGAGTGCTCGCTTTGCAGGTGAGAGGCAGAGAGGCACATGCCCGCATTCTGCTGGTGATATCCTACTCTCTTCCTTTTCCAGCAAAAAGCCAGGCACTTGGAAGACACCTTCTGCATGGGCACTTGGACCTGCCTCCTCCTTGAGAGATGGGTGGGCACCACTGTCAACGTGGTGGGGGATTGGCTCAAGCGGCAGAGCACTCGCTTCGCATGCGAGAGGGAGCGGGATCGACGCCCGCGTTCCCCAGGCACTCCTCTGCCCCCTTTTTGCTGTATGCCACACCGTTTTCCTGGGTGACTTTCTGCACAGCTTCTTTCGGTTGTGCCCTGAATTAGCCAAACAGTGATGGCAGGCAGGTGGGGAATTAGCTCAATTGTGGAGCACTTGAGTACCAGGCGAGCGGTAGGAAAACGTGATGGGAGGCAGGCATGGCATTAGCTCGAAGGGGAGA